CCTATTTTGATGGAGTGACTGGCATAGCATGATCAAATTGTTTGATTTCTTATAAGAAAGATTATTCAACATGCTGCATTTCAAATGTATTTCTGTTTTTTTTATTTTAAACTGCTTAACTGCAGGAATGATTATATATCAAATTGTTGGTGCTCAGGATTAAAGAGTATGGGTTAGAAATCCCATGGTAATCCAAAACCACACCCTGAAAGGCACACAAACTGGGTTGGTTTATCTGCTTGGAAGGCTTTATAGCTATAAAATTACATGATTGTAAATTACACTGGAAATCCCAGTATTCTGCATACTGAAGTATGCTTTGTTATTTCTCTCTCTCTCTCTCTCTCTCTCTTTCTCTTTCTCTCTCTCTCTCTCTCTTTTAGATGAACCCAGTCCTTCCCCTTGTGGTGTTGATGCCATCACTACTCACAGGAAGGAGGCCTGGTAAAGTGTTAAAATTTCTAGAGAAAAAAATTACACGGTCTTTTTTGATGTTGCTGTTGCTGATGTTTAATCTCTCCAGGCCAGTTCCCAAGATGTTTCATTTGTACTGGAACATTGTGCTTAGTATAATAATGTTCAGGCTAGTATGTTTACCCTTACTCATGTAATCTTTCCTGGAATACTTCTATTGACTGCCTTTGAAGTGGGTCATAATATTAATTCTTCAGTTCATTGGATCAACTGACAGCATGTATCCATCTGAAAATAAGTTCCATTACTCCCATGTAGAAATGTTCAGGGATGGCGTACAAATTTAGTCTGTAGGTGATATGGTGGTTCAACCATTTGTTGTTACATTTCTGCAGTCCATGTCACTATATGGGCTGGGAAGATGATCTGTAGACCTCTGTTCTGCATGCATTCATCTATGTGAGATGGTATAGGCCAAGGAGTGGGCACAGTATATTTTCTTTACAAAAACCCAGCAACGTTTATTGTTCACTTCAGGCAGGTCTTTCATCCTGGAAAGCAAACAATGTTTGGGTAACCACAGTGGCCCTTAGAATTCAGCAGGCACGCTCCTTTTAGAGAACAAAAAGTCAGGAATAGAACAAAGTAAAGTGAAAGAAAACTTACACTTTGCAAACTTCCTCCAATAAGTAATTCTTCCTAGTAATCTCAGTAAAATGGCATCGTAGCCTATGGTGGCTTTTAGAGCTAACTATAAAGTATTTACTGTATCCTAATAGCCCCACATAGCCCAATGTCATCAGAGCTTGGAAGATAAACAGGGTTGGTCATGGTTAAGTACTTGGATGGAAAACCAACAAGAAAGACTGAGGTTGCTATGCAGCGGAAAGCGGTGGCAAACCACCTCTACTCATCACTTTTCTTGAAAACCCCAAGGTCCTGGGGCCGCCATGAGTTGCCTGTGTCTTAATGGCAAGGTTATTATTATTATAAAGTATTTTAGTGGCACATCACCTTCGGAACCAACTTAATTTGCTATGCATTTTGGATTGTTACTACTACTTAGAAATAAACACTTTAAATGTAGTATAGTAATATTTAGCAAGTATATAGTGTGTGTTGAGTATTCAGAATACTTCATACACATTATGTCAGTCATAAAATAGAAGAAAGAATTTAATTGAATCAATATCTACCCCATTTGACTGTCTTCCCATGAAAATTCTTTGGTGAATAGGACTATAATCAAAGACTAGGGTGGAGAGTGATCGCACAACCAGTTCAACATCTGTAAAGGTGTAGATGTAGTAGTTCCAAAAAATTCATGTACAAAATGGATGTTGCTTGGTTTGTGAATTACAGCCTAATCTAGACATAATAAAGGATATTTCTAACTCCGTATCATATGTAGCTTATGCTGAAAGAAATTAGCATCCAAAAAGGAGTAAGGAATCTAAAACGAAAGGTTGCATGGATGCAGTGAGGCAAATCCATGTTTTAAAAAATGACAGTGATGGAGGAGGGATGTGACAGTGGTCAAGAAGAAGAAATAGCAGAAGTACAGACTTAGCCCTGATGGGATTTGTATCTCTTAATGTGCTATATGTTTTTGCACAAGAAGCCAGGAAGCAGAGTAGAAATAGTGGATTGGATTCTACCAGCTTTTCTGTTCAGTACCTTCTAATTCCCCTTCTCATTTCAACCACTGTTCTATGTGATGTATGGATACTACGGTCCTTGGCAGAGCCTTTTTTGGTGATATAGCTATTTCTGTACCTGATGTTGCAAAAAAGTGTATACTGCTTTCAGTGCTTCCTCATTGGCCTTGTATGAAATTTTGTGTAACCCACTAATAAAGCCTTTGAATTGCTTTGAAAAATCATGCAAGTGGAATGAGTTGGCACCAAAGGGGAAGATCATTGTTGGGCAGTTGGAGAAAAGCAGAAATGAGTTGTTTGTGAAATCTACGAAAGGACAATGGAAGTATAGCTTGACAAAACTTTGCTAGAAAGTTGGTCTTTAGGCATAGTTTACTCTGTCTAGGAAAGCTGACAGTTCTATTGATAGTAGTGTACAGAAAGGCATGGACACGTATGGTCTGTTTGAAATGGCAAGCCTATCTATTTCCATATGACAGGAGGGTTGAGTAAGATGCGTGACCCCCATCTGTGAGACATAGGGTATTTTCATAGACCATGGCCAATTTCCCACAAGTGCTGCTCCATGCTCGCTCTTCCCTTTTGCCCCGATGGTACATGTCAATTTCAAACAAGCCGCTGCGCAGCCGCATGTTGCCCCAGAGCTTCACGCAATTTCCCCCGCGTCTACTACAGCTTGTGTGAAATTGACAAGTGCCATCGGGGGAAAGGGAAGGGCGAGCGTGGAGCAGCACTTGTGGGAAATCGGTCCATAATTATAAATGTGTGTATCATTACAGCAGGAAGTCCATGTATATCTTTTAGACAATATGTGTTGGTTGTTCTTTTCAGTATCAAGACAGAAGATCATTTAAAATTCAAGAAAGGGTGCTTCAAATCAGAATCTAGAAAGTTGGCAGATCAAAGAAGCATGACTGTCTTGTGGGACTGCTCTACTCGGGAGACAATGGGTAGTGTCTCCAAAGAAGAAAGCACTTTAGAAAGACTCCCTGGTTTGAAGGATTCTACAAGCTCTAAGGAAGATCGGTGGAAAAATTCTTCCTACCCAAAGGAACCTGACTCAGCAGTAGAATCTAGTATTGCAAAAACTGTGCAAATGAATACTGATGAGCTGGAAGGGGATCTTGAGCACTTAGACCGTAGCAAGGCAGCAGTGGAAAGTTCTCCGCCACATGCTGGAGCACAGACTGTTATTGGGGAAGAAAGATACCACAGCAATGAACCAAAGCAGTTAGACGCCTTCAGCAAAGAACATTTAAACAAAAGGCAAGAATTGGAAAAGAAAGGCATTCAAAGGTTTGACTGGCTTCCTGAGCACAATGAGAGGCTTAGGCCTCTCTCTAGAAACATAAATAAGCCAGTAGATATAGCTACAAACTTTTCCGTTAGAGGACAGTCTGCACGAGAAGCTTCTTTGTTGGCTTTGCCAGTATTTAGAAAAATGTTAAATCCTCACTTGAGCAAAACAAAAACCGCTGAAGGTGCAGTTTCCCCCAGGAAGGGGCAGGCAGTAGACTCTGATTTAGGTGAAGTAAGTTCTCTTAAAGCTGCTGAATGGACATTACAGAAATCAGGGCCTCAGATGCCCATGGACCTTGCTGTCCGCAAACATGCTTGGACTGTTAACGTGAGAGACTCTATGGACTGTGTTCCTCTGAGGTCTGCGGAACCTCCTTCCTGTAGCACCTATGATAAGACAAGGTCCTACATGTGCAATGCTTTACTGGATGAACAGGGAAAAGATGACCAAGTCCAGGAAGAAGATTCCACTGTATACACTTGCACTGAATGCAGCATTTATTTTAAAAAGAAAGAACATTTGGTGGATCACATGATTCAGCACAACAGGGGATTAGGAATGGATCAAGGCAGAGAGGGCATTGGAGGTCAGTGTCAGTTCACCTGTAATGAGTGTGGATGGGCTTTTGGGGACACTGCTTCTCTAGAGCAGCACAGGAGACTTCATCAGGAGTCAAGAGAGAAAATCATTGAGGAAATTCAGAAGCTTAATGAATTCCCAGATGAAGGTCGTGATGCCAGGCTACAGTGCCCAAAATGTGTGTTTGGAACGAACTCCTCTAAGGTGTTTGTCCAGCATGCAAAGATGCATGTCAGGGAAAGGAAAGATCAAGGTTTGAAGAATGTAAACTTGTTTGCAAGTTCTGGTGGTGGTGGTGATCCATGGGACAGCTCTGTGCACAACATATATAGACCCTTCAGGCCAAATGAGCACGTACCTCAAACTATACATGCACACAGTAGTAGCAAAGGTCTTAGTACTTGCATGCTTTGCAGCTTCCCTGCCCCAAATGAAAATGTTTTAAAAGAACATATGAAATATGCTCATTCCCATATGACTTGGAACACGGAGATTTCTGATGCAGACATCAATCAACCTGGAACTAGTAGGGATGCCTACAGCCCTGCCAGGTCAGGTCAGTTTTCAGAAACTGATTATGTGGGCAAACCAGAAAGGCTCTTTCCTCAACCTCACTCTGAAACCATGGCCCACTATGAATCGCTCCATGGCTTTATAGTGAGCCACCAGAAACTTGATACAAGCAATGGCACTAATAAAAAAGACATCCCAATGCCTGGATTTCGGGCTAGGAAACGAGCTCCCTATAGCTCTTCGCACAAGATCTTGGGAATGTCCACTCTTACCTCAACAAAACTTCCATATGCCCGGAAACAAATGAGGAAGAAAAGCACAGCATGGCCCACTGAGACTGAGAGAGGCAAGATGAAAAGCCATCCAGGTGGTCTGGAAGAACTCCAACACAAATGGCTACCCATAAATGATAGCAGCATGGAAGAAGAATTCCCTTTAGCTACAGAAATAGAATTAGCAGAAAATAGATACTTCAGACCTGTTACTGTTCCTCAGTCTGCCTTGGACCTCAAAAGATCTTTTAGGGGCATTTTGAAAGCAACAGACTATTCCATAGCATCAGCAGGACAGCAGCATCAGTTACGTCAAATGGTTCCTGTTGTTCTTCTCGAGCAGCTTAACCTTTGTCCCAGAAAGATGAAGCAACCTACGATTAAGATTTTCAAGAAAAAGGCATTACCTCCTTCTCAAGAGTTTGGAATGGATGAGTCTCTTCCCTTAGATGTCTTCTTTTTTGACTCCCCTCTTGAAGGCTCTCTAGAACTGGATGATCTTCTGGATACAGATTCATCAATACTGAAGAATGAGGAGAGGAAATGCCCATACTGTCCCGACAGGTTCCACAATGGGATTGGCCTAGCCAATCACGTGCGGGGCCACCTGAACAGGGTGGGTGTGAGCTACAATGTCCGTCACTTCATCTCTGCAGAAGAAGTGAAAGCTATTGAGCAAAAATTTTCCTTCCAAAAGAAGAAGAAAAAAGGTAGTATGTATTCAATTTATAATTTTCCCCATTTTTCTAATATTTTTTATTTCCTCGAAGATGGGTATGTATGTTCCACTATATATTCTCTCCCCACAGGAGATGTTATGTTACAGCATGCTTACAACGTCTAGTTGTGGTGGTGGTGCTCTTGTTTTTAAATCATGTGTTCTAAGGGGAGTTGCCTTAAGTTGTTCTTGGTTTAAACAGACAGTGATCAGTAAAACTGATGGTTTTCTCCCCCCCCCCTTTTCTGCAGTTGCAAACTTTGATCCAAGTACTTTCAGTTTAATGAGATGTGAATTTTGTGGAGCTGGTTTTGACACACGTGCAGGGCTGTCCAGCCATGCCAGGGCCCACCTGAGGGATTTTGGAATCACCAACTGGGAGCTCACCATCTCACCAATAAACATCTTGAAGGAGCTGCTAGCGAATTCATCAGAACATCCTATGCTTCAGACTGCACTAGGAGCAGATCCTTCACCCCCAAACCAAGAGAGAGAGATGCTTGGGTTTGGGTCCTGCAAAAGTACGACCCCTGTATCTGAATGCAGCATTTCACAATCACCTTTCTCCCCGTTCCCTTCATCCTGGGGAGAGGAACCCATACAGTCCTTCAGAGATGGTAAGCAGTTAAACTTTTCTTGCATCCTAGAATATTTAATATGTATGCATTTGGCCTCATTTATTCTTCCCAGTGATAATCTTAACTGCATGCAGGAAATTATGTTGTTCATAGCAAATTGAGGTGCTTTTGTCAGACTTAAGAACCAGCCAGATTTTCTAGGAGCCCACTAGCAATGTGCATTCGGATCTACCCAAGTCAAAAATTGGATAGTTTTCCACATCCCAAATGTATTTGGGTTTTCGGGGGGGGGGGGGGAACCCAGAAAAAAATTGTCCACAATCTACTAGGTAGATCCAAAAACAGCAGAGAGGCAGGAGCAGAATGCTATTTGTTGTGCTTCTACTGCAATCCCTTTAAAGTTTAAAGGGATTGCAGAAGACAGCCTGAGGATCATCTGTGCCGGTGGGGAGCAGACTGTTCCCGCTTGCTCAGCTTGGGGCTGGCTTCTCATGTAGCCCAGTTTAAACCAGGCTGCAGAAGAAATGAGCCCAGCCAGGATCTCCTGTGCTGCAGAGCAGTGTCCTGCAATGCACACAGCAGCTCCTGGGGCTGGCTTCTCCTGTAGCCCAGTTTAAACTGAATTGCAGGAGGAGTGAGACCAGCCACTGGGAGCAATGCGCTCCGCACAGCACAGCAATCCTTGGGGCTTGCTTCTCTTGCAGCCCAATTTAAACTGGACTGCCGGAGAAGCAAGCCCAGCTAGGATCTCCTGTGCTGCACAGCAGCTCCGAGGGCTGGCATCTCTGGCAGTCCAGTTTAAACTGGACTGCAGAAGAAGCAAGCCCAGCCAGGATCAGCTGTGGTTACAGGGAGCAGATTGTTCCTGGAGGCTCACCTTTGTGCTGGCTTCTCCTGCAACCAGGTTTGAATTATGCAAATTGCGGAGAAGAGAATCTTCAACCAGGTTTAAACCAGGCTGCAGGAGAAGCCAAGGCAGCCCAAGGCTCTTTTTTTTTAATTGGATTTTTTCTTCTCGGGTCTATGGGATCCAAAAAAAATTGGGATTTTTGAAAAATCTCAGATCCAAATACTGTACCAGTATTGGGATCCAGGATTTTTCAGAAATCCTGAAATTTTTTCAGGTCCCATAGACCCAAATAAAAATATACTAATTAAAAAAATATTGCACACTCCTAGAGCCCACTGGAAAAGGGAGATGGATAACTGCATGCACCAGTTAGAGAAAGGATCTATATATGATTATACTTCACCTTTTATTGATAAACTGCTGTATGTAGTTAGATATATATAGAATCAGGAATAGTTGCTTCATTGCATTCCTGTTGTTGGACTGAATATTGTACTATACAGGGATGTTAAAATATCACATTAAATTATATGTTAGCAATATGAAGCCATTTACCACCAACAATCTGAATCTTGTTCACTGAGTTGATGAACTGATGGGGTACTATTGATTTGTTGAATTCAAAGCTGAAACCTTTCTTGTACTGTTGCTACAAGTTTGAACACATGAAACTGCCTTGTATTTAATCAGACCCTTGGTCCATCAAGGTCAGTATTGTCTACTCAGACTGGCAGCAGTTCTCCAGGGTCTAAGGTGGCAGTTTGTCACGTCATGTATTATCTCATCCTTTTAACTGAAGATGCTGGGGATTGAACCTGGGACCTTCTGCATGAAAATCAGATACTCTACTATTATGCCACGACCCCATCCCACATCCACATGGCTTTATCTGATTGAGAAGACTGGAGTATAGAAGCAGTTTCTCTCAATAGTTAAGCTACATTGCATTTCAAAAGCAACACATTTCTGATCTGCAGTTTTAACTATGGAAAAACTGAAAAACCATACATATAAATATGAGTTTGGCATGTGTTTCCTACCCAGTACATATAGAGCTTTAACCTTTTACCTGTTCATGCATTGTACTACCTATTTCCATTGCCAACAGAGTGCCTTGCTTGGAAGCAACATTAAATTGTTGTCCCTCTTTATACAACTAATGTGAATTTTCAGATGTAATTTAAATATGTACTTTATTGTGCAGTCAAGTCAGCATAAAACTAAATAATCTAATGCACAGTATACTCAAGTACTTGAATAATTGCCTTTTGATACAATGAAAAATGTCAATCTCTTGCTATAATACTAGTTAGTGACTACTTCAGGATGTGGTTGATCTTGTTCACTTGATCCTCCTATTCCTCTCACAGTACCTGGCAAGGGTCTTTGGTTCAATATCACAAGGTGTTGCTTGAGTCAGTGGGAAAGTCTTCCATGGATTATGCATAGTGCATTTTAAAATGGCATACTAAACAGACATAGGTGTAATTAGTTGGAAGTACTTCTCTAGAGTGAAAAATCTCTCTCACAACAGCTCTTCTGTTAATGCTGCCAGCTCTCTTTTCCAATAGGAGCAAACCCGAAGGAAACTGTATAGAAGACGCTAAATACCCAAATGGTACAAAACATTCAGTGTTCACAATATAGTCAATGAACAATCATATAATCACAGAAAATTTCATAGTAGTGTCAAATTTGTAAGTAGTATCAAAGATGTTTATGATCTTCTCCGGAATGACGTATCATTTCATAGAAACTTCCTCTGAACAGTGTGTCTTTACTAATGTGACATCAAAATGATGTCTGGAATTGTAGCCTCTTCTTCAAAAACATTCAGACTATAGTAGTCACTAAGTTCACATTCTGATGCTACTTACAACTTTGACACTACCATGAATTTTTCCATACAGAGTATCGTAGCTTAAAGAAGGTACGTGTGTGTTGATGGTGCCTCCTGGTGCCCTAGCATTATGAACAAGTTGGTATGAGTTCCTCTTGTCTGTGGAATGTCCCATAGCAGGTATAAAGGCTGTTAAATTCAAGAGGAAATTTACAAGCATGGCTAGATCATATGACCTCTGAGAATATTACATGATTGGCTCAGAGAATTTCTGGAGGCACATGATATACCTCCAGTGCCAAAGCTTAGCAGGGTCTGGTGTGTAGGAGGCTGCTTGGGAACCATATGCAAACCTTCCCAGGCTCCATGGAGGAAGAGCACTATGTAAGTATAACAAATCTTGTTGCAAGTTAAGCTGCAAGAAGTACATCACTCATTACAAGCAAACTGACCGCAGTGGACATTTCTGCAATGAGACAGGGATTTCTGATGAAAAGGCAATTTAAAGCAATAGAGAGGGATGCACATTTATTCTGTAATCTGGTCTCTAGCAACTATAGTTGGTTCCCAAAAGGAATTTTCAACAAAGATAGAATAAAACTGTTAGTACAACTGATTCTCATTCAGTTCCATTTCCCAGACCTGGGACTTTGAAGGAAAGTGCCTCCATAAAGGTCTTGTAATGTGTCTTAAGATTACTTATTTCTATGAAACCGATAAGTTCTGTTGAATATGCTGTTAATCAAAATATAGAAACCAGAGGGTTTGAACAGTTTTTGCAATAGAGAGAACACTAAGGTCCCTTGAGGATACTGCAATTCATAGATTATTTGGAGTCAGGGTGAAGTCAATGTGACAGTCTGCAGATGATGCCAGAGTTTTCACGAAGGTATAATTGCAACTAAACACTGAAAATGTCCACAAGGATCTATCCAAACTGGGTGACTGTGCAAAAAGAAGAAGAAGAAGAGAGTCAGTGTAAGTCAAAGTGATGCATATTTAGACAAAAAGTCTACTATTTATATGCTTGTCTGTGGCTACCCAGGCAACTGAAATCAGATGTAAAAACCTATTGAATGTGCTGCAACCATGAAAAAGGCCAATTCAGTGTTGGGAATTATTATGAAAGAGACTGAAAACAGCAAATATAGTGTTATTATTTAAATCTACAGTAGGAATACATACAGAACAATGGACACAATTAAAGTCATCCTACCTCCCAAAGGATATTTGTAGAGCAAGTTTAAATTGAAAAGGGTGTTTAGAAAAAAGATAATTGAGGAAAGACATATAGAAGTTAGCAATTTATAAAATGAACATTTTAATAAAATTATTAGCCATGTAGAGAGAATGGAGACTTCTTCCTATGTGCAATAACCCAGCTTCCAAGACATGGTTCTCACAAATCACTGACGAGGTAGCAGGTCTATATCTCCTTAAAAATAACCATTATTGAATAATCTGATACTAAAATGTTTTCTTTACATGGAAAGTTTGAGGCCAAGAAGAAAAGAGTTGTAATCTATATGTCTCCCTGTCAATGTAGCCTTCTATGTATAATTCTTTTTTTAATCAGTGTGAACTTGCACTTAGAGAAAAATGGAGAAACTTTTATTTGGTGTCTTAAAAAGGGTATTGTCAAAAAGGCCTCCCGTGCCCAACCCAGTCTGAAAACCTTTTAGCCAAGAGGCTGGCTAGCTAAAATTACAAAAGGTGTTAAAGGCACCTGTATTCTTTTAACCTGGGTAGGCTACCACCAGTCCTTTCCAGTCCCTCCAGTCAGGAACCAAAGAATGGACTTCTGACCTTACTGGGATTAACTAGGGAGTTCTCCCCGCGAGGTTGACTCACAGCAAGAAACCCACAAGATTACTATCACGGTAGTGAACCGCCAGTCTTAGGCACTTGATTGTCCTCCTGCAGCAGTAGAGACAAAGAACCAGAGTTTGGTGAATAAAATATTTTTTTATTAAGTACAAAGAGTATTATTAAAAAGGTCCAAATTTACTTAAAACATTACTGTGAGGAAAAACAATAAAACTAGAGATGAAGAAACTAGCTAGACACTTTTAGGACCTTGGTTCTCAAAAGGCAAGATGTTACCCATTAAGTGTTCTGGGTCCAAAGTGTACTCCATCTCCAGAGTCCCAAACGCCAGGCCAGTTGGCTTCAGTAGCAAGAGCTTCGAGAGGGCCAAAGGTCAGCAAGGCAATGTTACATGTCAGCATAACATGCAAACACCATCAAGCCCCCTGAATAGGTTTCTAGGTAGGTAATTTATCACTTGAATCCTAGATTGTTGCTAGGCCTTTGCACCAATCATGGTTCAAGCAATGTACTATAGATACA